GAGTACAGAAAGTCTGCCAAGCATGAAAAAAAGTCAGTCACAGTTATTTTTGGGATGGTGCTTTGTTTTTTATGTATGTACTCCACTGTTACATTTATAGATTCAAAAGAAATTACATCTTTTCTTCAAATGTAATTACCACAGAGGACATGGAACATGGGATTTTCAAAGCAGCCCAAGGAAACTGAGGACCCAGTTCTTAGTAGGCAGGAAAATAATATGCCGAGACTCTTTTGAACATGCCAGTATTGAGCACCCGTACGGGAGCATTCTGTTACTTGATGTGGGTTTGCTATAAGTGAGCCAGCTGAAATGTTTTTGCAATACTAAGAGGTCTTATAGTATAGGGAAATATTTCATATCAAGTTCTGTTTGTCATGAGAAAGAATGTGCTTGCTAGTTTTGGGGGTGGGGGGCGGGCATTGTTTGGGTTGGTTTTGTTTTTCCTGGACAGCATTATGGGCCAAATGCTCAATCCTTTTTTGTCAAAGGCAAAGGTTGATTTAAATGAGACCAGAATGCATGGGTATGTGCTAAATCAGATATTTTTAAATGCATGCCACTTGAAATTGCGGAAGAAAAAACACACTCATAAATAGTTGTGATTTGTTTGAAGTCAGAGCACTTTTCTCTCTGTGGGTCTATTTATAGTTTCAGGATAAGAAATTCTTATGCTTAGTAGCAGGAACTGATGAGTGAGACTTTCACATACTCAGAAGAAAAAAACGAGTTGTAATTTTCTGTTTCTTCAGCCTGAAGAAAATTCATGAGTCTTGTAGCTGGGATATAAAATTAATCCTGCTTAGTTAGGAGGACCTTAATCATACACTTGCAGTTTTCCACTTGAACTATGGTATCTGTAGTACCCAAAGGAGCCAGTTCTCACAGAATGTTTTTCATCTGGCTTTGTCTTCTTGTTAAAATAAATCTTTGATTTTGCTGGTGACCGAGATTACATTTTAATGTAAGTTTTCTGTATTTTTAATTTTTATTCTGTTGCTATATTAAGACCAGGAACACAAATGGATTATTGTGAATCCTGAAGTGTTCCCTTTTTTTGCTGCTGGAGTCCAGTTCCATACAATATTAGCAATCAGCTTCTATGCCAAAGCCAAGCAGTGACAGTTGCAGTAATGAATATTTGCTGCAGGCCACTGGTATGAAAATAGCACAGTGCTGCAAGCCTGCGTCACCAGAAACAAATCTTCCATTTGACTGTGACTGAATTTCCAGCTCGATTTTAGATCATTTGTTATTGAAATAGTTCTTAAAGCACTGCCATAATATAATGTTAAGAAATGCTGATTCAGTCTTCAAGGCATCAGTTCAAATGCCTTCCTACTCCTCTCTGATTGTTTGGGTTTTTTAATCCCTTATACCTTTAATGCTGTGGCCTGTATTTAGGGCACTGAACTGTCTACAGGCAGCAACACTGTAATATATTCAAAGAGACACATGCTCCTTAGGTTAGAAGTTCTGGTGAGAAGGGGATTTGAATTCCTTCTTTGTAAGCTTACTTGACAGTTTTTAGAATGTTTTCCCCTTAATTTCTGCAGATAATTTTGAAGTTTATATGAGGAGGAGCAGCTTTGCATCTTTAAATGTGTTACAGCTTTTAGATGGTGAACTTGGATGGTTTTCTTGTATATGTTTTGATGTCATTAATGCATTTGCATTAGTGGAATATATAGCGTATTAATATAGGGCAACTTTTGAAAGGTATATGAGCAGAATATATGCTCTGAACTTTGATATTTTTGTTAGTTGAAGAATATGCTGGTGACATTTACTGGTTTTAGTTTAATTTTTATATACAATGCTGCTTTCACACATGCATCTCAAAATACCCTCAAAAGGAGTAGGGTGTTCTTTTCACTTTAAAATGATTACGTGGTGAAATATTAGATCAGCATAGATATAGGAGGTCAGATATTTGAAGCAGAATAAAATCTGCAGTTATTTAAGTGGGTTTTTTTGTTCATTGCCTCAGGTTTTCCTATGAAAATAAAGAAATTGTGATCTATATTTTGCTTATGGCAAAATACTGACCCTTGCACTGCAAAGCTGGTAATGGTGATTGATGTACATATCTAATTTCCTGCAAGATTAGAATGAGTGCCAACCTTGCCATCAATCCTTAGAGAATGTTAATGTCTTCTTTCTCTTTTCCTTCCCTCTCGCTGGTGCTGTCTGCCCTCTGCCTTCCTTTTCACCAGGAAAGTACATTGGTTAGACCTACTACTCTACAGTAGTCCCAGGGTGGAGAAACTGAAGTTTTAAAAGCAGTGTTGTGTACTGCTGGGAGTGGGCTTTTGATGAAAATAATTTCACTGCAGCAACTTTCAATTTAAGGAAAGCCAACAGCAACACAGATTTTCTGGGATGGGAAAGGAGTGACTAGTTAAATGTATAATTTTGTGGACAGATCTACAAAGGCTTCATTTGCTCATCAGTTTCCCAACAAAAGGCTTAATATTTCAAAACAGTATTTTTCTTTTGAAACATTATTGTTGGTCTGTAAAAAATAATAAATAAGAACAGAATGTTCAGCAAGGTAACGCCATTCCTTCTGCACCAGTATTTGACATCCCCAGTACCTCAGCACCCTCCAGACTCACTCTCAGGGAAAAAAAAACCTTTGAGTAGACCTGGAGTGGGACCTTATTTTTGCTATACGCCACTTTAATGTCTGGCAGTATGTAGAATATTCACATCACAAACTCTGCTTTCTTGGTTTTATGAATAATATTTTTTAAAAACCCTTTGAGAGAATATATAGAAACATTAAAAAATACACAATGTATAGAAATTGATAAGACTTCAAATGTTCTATTCCACTGACTGAAAGGGGATCATACCTGGGTTGCTCCTGCAGATATTTGTTCAGCCAGTTCCAAGTCCTCCAGCAGGCAACATTTCCAGATCTCTGCAGGTAGGCTATTCTCAGGCTTTACAAGCTTTATTATTAGAAAGAATTTCCTGATATCTAATCTAAGTCTCTCTTGATGTAATCCAGTAGTCCTTGTCCTATTAGGAGGGATCAGGGAGGAGAGTTTATTTTCTTCTTTTTAGCTCCCTTCTACGGGTACGGAAAATGCTGTTGGTGTTTACCCTTCATCTTCCATATTCACAGTCCATGTTTGCAAAACCTCTAATTTGTTTTGGCTTCCTCCCTTGCAACCCCTCTCTTGTTGGTTTGTATTTGTATTGCTGCTGGATTAACAACAAAGCAAGTAATTGTTAATTTTTGACGTTGCAGTCTCCAGACTGGACATTGGGCCTCTAGTGCTGATTAGAGGAGAAAAAGATACTTCATAAATCTTTCACTTTGCATTTTCAATATGGCGGGGACTTTTTTCATAACACAATGATATGAGATCTGTGTTCATCTTGTTATCTGCTACTGAAAGCTTTTTCTGAAAAACAAGCAAACAAACAAAGACAACAACACAAAATCAATCAAAAAAAACCCCTCCCCCAAAAGCAGTACTGGGGCTGTTGTTCTTCATCCTGTTTTAATAGATCAGATTAATCCTCCTGAGTGTGGATTCATGCAATTGCCTTCACTGAAAAGCATCTAATTTTCTAGACTGTTTCTCCAATGCATTAAAACTGTTTTGAATCATGTCTCTCGGTGTGTTTGTGCTTGCTCCCAGTTTGCTGTTGACTGCAAAGTTAATAGGTGTGTTCTTCATTAATGAAGTTGTTGAACAGTATTAGTCTGAAACACACCTCTGCGGCATCAGTTAGTTGTGTCCCTCCTGTACCACAGCACATACTGAGGTCTGTAAGCCAAAGAATTGTTATTTTGCCTATTCTAATAGATGGCAATGAATAAAGCATAGTACAGGTAGAGCACCACTAACACAAAGGGATGTATGAAACCAAAATGAGCTGTCTGTGTTGGAAAATACCCAATTCCAGGAGTATCCCAGTAAAGTAACTAAGATTTCTTACGGAGGAAGCTGCTATTCAGTAGGCTTAATAGGACAATATACAACACTGCAAAGGCAGAGCGGGTCCTGTCCCTTCTCTCCATTTGCTGTCCCTTACTTGCCAGCTTCTCCACTGGCTCATTGCTGGATCTTACTGTCTTCTACGCTGCTAAGTACTTAACTACCAAATGATACTGCCATATCCGAATGTCATGTATATATTATTCAAACCATAATATCCTTGTGTATTTTCTCTCTCTTGGATTTGAAATCTACAGAAAACGCACAAGTTCTTTCATGCAAGCACTAGGTTTCCAAATAGATTTAGGTATATAACATGTTTGCAGTTTTTCCAAACATACCACTGATACACAGATCAGAAATCTTATTGTTTGTGTAGGTCTCAGATACAGAATGTTGTATATTTAATTACTATTATTAGTATGTATTGTTAGTATGCAATAATGGATAATAATAATGCATGGATAAATGTATACTGTGTATTAATAATTACCCTCATTCATTTAATATTAGTTTTGGTTAATATCAAGTGAAGTATCAATTTAACATTTTATTTTATCAGATATCAAGAATAGACAATTATTTTCATTTTAGTTTTATTAGTACAGAATGTTAAAACTTTAGCTTGGCTACTCAATCAGTGTAATATTATGCAGTACTATGGCAGTTTATGCATCTGAAGCACTGCATATAATTTTTAACTGCCTATTGTACTGGTAATTTACATGACCTCTTTTAGTGGATTATCTTTCAGTTGTACAGTACAGTCTTAATGACCTGTCTTTTCAGTTTATGAATTCTGTACTTACTGGGTGTTAGCACACTGCAGAATACATGGCATTACAATACATGGGAGTACTGTATTTTGTAACCACACAAAATACAAAGAATAAGGTCAGGTTTAGTTCATTACCATTAGTCAAACCATCATCAGCATGATCTGGCTCTCTGTGTGGTTAAGGCATTAGGATGCAAACAAGCAAATGCCAAAGGTCACAACCTTTTTTTTTGTTGTTTCCTTCCATCTCCTTTCTTTGCCTACAGACATTACCACAGGGACACCAGCAATATCAACGATGACAACCGTGGAAATCCGGAAGAGCAGTGTTATGACAACTGAGATCACCTCTAAAGTGGAGAAAATCCCCACGACAGCCACTAGCAGCACCACATGCCCTTCCGTTGAGACTGAGGAAGAAAAAGCAAAAAGACTGCTGTACTGTTCACTATGCAAAGTTGCTGTCAACTCTGCCTCGCAGCTGGAGGCGCACAACAGTGGTGAGATGGAGCAGTGCTTGCTTTCTTCCTTTTTTTCCTTCTGTCTCAAGAGCTCTGCAATTATCTTCCCCTGAATAGATTAGATCTCTTGCAGCAGGGGACGAGGAGGTGGCAGAAAACTGGCAATTACATGGAATTCATTAACTATTAAAGAATAAAAATGACAGGCAAAGAGGCTTTCATAAAGGGGGAAGAAAGGAATTTTATTGCATGCAAGTTACCCATTTTCTTACATTTTAGCTTTTGCAGCTTCCAAACCTTATAGAGCTAAATGACAGCTCATGCTTCATTACCTTTGGTGTTCAGAGTTTGCATAGTTTTGTTTGTGCCAGCTAGCAGACTAAGTATGAATGCCATTAGTTTTGTTTGAAATCTAACAAATTAAGGCTGAAAGAGGGAGCGTCAGTCAGAGTTCAATGATGAGAGTTAGAATTCTTAGCTCCTTATTGTCTGTTAATAACTTGTTAAAATTATGTATATTTTTCCTTTGTTTTCATCAACTTATAGCAACTGCTGCATGAGAGTTGAATGGGTAATGGCTTACCTCCATCTTTCTTAATTTTTAAACCTTTTCTTTTTATTAGAGCTAGTAGCATCGATAAGTTCCAGTAGTAGAGAGCCATCATTCACAGTCACTATATTAAGCATCTTATTGATTGGCTTTGTGGTGAGCAGGGTTGAAAGATCTTGGAATTTAATATGGTGGCAATGAACACCTATAACTGTCCTACAGAAAAACTGCTGGTTTTGGATGTCAGGGGTTACCTGCCAGCAGGGTAAACTGAGTTAAGAGACAGACAGAGAACCTTAGGTTTGAAACATAGAGTCGGTGATGATATACATGCAGCAAAATGATCAATGGTTTTATGATGTAATAAAAAAAGGAATAACTTTGGAATGTCCATAGAATCCACTTAATTTAAAAAGGAAATTATAATTTGTTGGTATTTAGGAGAAACAAAGCCTAATCAGTTTTGAATGCTGTGTTTGCTGCATGCCAGGTCTTCGACTGGTGAAAATTCAAGTTCATAAAGCTGTACCCATTTAACCTATTTAACTTCATATAAGGTTTAGTCTCTAAACATTTTTCTGATCAAGATGAGAGCCAAAACGTTATTCTGAATATTTAAACCCAACCCTCCAAGTTTTTGCTGCCTATGCTGATAAACTGTGTGTATGCTCACACACGTGCATGCTTGTAAAAGTGTATATGTGGATCCATACAACAATTATCAGTGGAACACTAATTCTATACATGGTAGTAGTCCATTATCATCACACACTACCTGCATGGAAGTCAACAGTGTAAGAAATTGTTTGGTCTGAATAAAGGTAAAGCAACAGGGCACTATTGTTTTCTATCCAATCTTTATTTTAATGAAAAACGCAAGTGCATTTTTCTCACATGTATATTTCTCACAGATTTTGGTTTCTGTCTAGGCCGTTAAGGATCCATAGGTTGCTGCCAGGAAACTCTGCCCCTTTTTGATTTGGAGACTAATTAGTTAATTGCAGATTTAAGTGTAAGCTACGTAATACATACTGTTTATCAATCCATTCAGGAGGACTACAAATCAAAGCCAACTACATCTTTAATAGCTAAATTACTCTTCCTTTGCAACTACAATTCAGGTCTTATTAGCAGCAGGAGTTAATGAGAAAAGTCACACCCATTTAACTTCACATCAGGATACCTGATTGTGCCACTACTTACTGGTGTGCTTGCTTTGTTCTAGCGCATTACCTACAGATATGTAATTTAATAATTAAATATCAGATGTGAAATACTGTTACATTGGTATGAATCTGATACAGACAAACACAGGCATATTCCAAGGATAGCACGTGGCACCAAGCTGAGGCTCATATGATTTACTTTTAAAAAGAAAATAAAACAATGAATGCAACCAAATTGCCAAAGTTGTTTCTGTTTCCCATTTCTAATGTCTCCAGGGACTAAGCACAAAACTATGCTGGAAGCTCGGAATGGAAGTGGAACCATAAAAGCCTTTCCCCGGGCAGGCGTAAAAGGCAAAGGACCTGTGAATAAAGGAAACACAGGCCTTCAGAACAAAACATTTCACTGTGAAATATGTGATGTGCACGTAAACTCTGAGACACAACTGAAACAGGTACTCAGCTAGCTTGCAGTGTGAATCCTTGGCTGTTCTTTGTTTCATGGTGATAAAGTACCAACACAATCAGCATGTGTCAGTCTAACATTTTGCATCCAAATGGAGCTTACAGATTTTGCCTGTTGTACTTGGCTGCCACACTGTATGTTTTGTTTTGGATATGATTTTCCCTTGCATGGAATATGTTGTCTCAAAAGCTCTTGATTATATATATTTCTTAAAGAGTTATAGAAGCTGTGAGCTGCAACATATTACAACTGTCTTTAGACTACTATAATTGCCACAAGCTAATAAACCCTGCCATTGAGTGTACTGCATGATATTTGCCTTGACAAAGATGTGGAGGTGGGTGCAGCCAGTACTTTCACAGAACGCTGAATAACCTGCTTAGAAATGCGGGATGGAGAGGATTTGTAATATATTTTATCAGTGTTACTCTGTAACTGAGAAGCATGACCTCTAAATTGCAATTACACTAAGTTATGTTCAGTCATTCTTCAGATGAACAAAGCTTTTGTTCTGAAAAACACTTACTTTAATTCCATATGCCTTTTGGAATTAAATACTTGTTAAGGAACTTTACAAGAATGAAGATAAATTCACTAATGGACAGTAGCAATACTTGTCTTGCTGCTTTCAGGAAAAAAAATGTCCAGTTCTTTGTCTTTTTTTTGTGAGAACTTGTTTGAGAATGCAAATCAAAGTAAAAATGTAGTTCTGAAAAATGTCCCTTACGTCTAATACTGCAATAAAGTCTGTATAGAAGGATTCTTGTAAAATCTCATAGATTGTATGAAGAAGATAATGGATTTTGTGGGGTTTTTTCAGTGTCACTTAGTTTGATATGTAACCATCTTTCAGCTGAAATCTTAAAAGGATCTCCAGGCTTCTTAGGGATTTAAACAATTTTGTGACCTTTCTCCCTCTCCCCCCAGAATAGGGGATGCTCTACTATCTAATATTCTTCCAAAACTTTTTATCAGCAGTGGATTGAATTTGATGGGTGCTTTATAGAGATAGGGAGGAATTTTTCAAAGGCTGCTGTCTTTGACATGATTCAAGTCTTGTTGAAGTTAACAAAGGTGAGAAAATCATTGACTACAGTGGAAGCAGAGTTGAACTGAGCACTGTGGAAAATCACAGTCCCAATATGTGATGCACAAAGGATCGTTCAAATTGGAACAGACCCTATTCCCATTTGTTATTGAATTAGTCAAAGTAATGCTGTTGTGGAGAGCAGGAGCCTTAAGTATTGGAGCACCCTTGTGTAAAGCAGAACCTGAAATGATCTATTAAGGAACTATCACTCTTCTTTTTTTTTCTTCTTTTTTTTTTTCCCCCAAATGTATTTTAACAGCACATAAGCAGTAGAAGGCACAAAGACAGAGCTGCTGGGAAGCCGCCTAAACCTAAATACAGCCCATACAACAAACTCCAAAAAGGAACACATCCTCTAGGGGTAAGCCAATCAGCTTTTTATTTTGCTTTTATTTTAACCCTGATGAATAGGGGGTTTAGAAAATGTAAGTGGAAAAATGTTTAAAATGAGAGGAATAGTGTAAGCAATGGTAGTATACAAGTGGCTGAATAAGCCCATGGGAGCCCACAAGGGACTTTTTATACACTTTGGTGGGTGCTGACTACAACCTGTGGGTCCTTGTTTTTGTAGCTACTCTGAACAACCTCAGAAAAGAAGTTTGTTTCAAAGGTCATTAGAGAGCAAGAGATGAAAGAAACATCCAGCTGTCAAACAGGATTTTTCCAGTTTTCACCAAGTACAATAGTGATGAAATGACTAAATAAAACTCTATAAAACATAAAACCTTTATTCTGTCCTTTTTTAGAAAATTATTCAGATAACAGTTGAAACAATTAAAAAAATCCATCTCTCATTTCATTCCACTCAGTTTCAGGATGGTTCTGGTCACATTTTCAATTGCCAGGATAAACTATCAGAAACATAGTTCTTAGTAGCTTCAAAAGCTGAGAAAAAAGGTTTACTTTTTAATAAAAAACTCTCTGGGATCCTGCCATTACTTAAGAGACAGCTTATATTGTGTGTGGGATAGTGAAACTTCTGACATTTTTCTCCATCAGATAAACTGCATGATTGTTTTATGTGCCATGGTGTTTTGTAAGGGTTTATAGATGGTTTTGGCAAAGGGAGGGTGTTGATTCACTGGCCTCATAGAGTTTAGCCCCTTATGCCTTGAGCATTTTCTCTAATGCAGGCAGAATATGGAGCTTTTTTCTGTGAAAACACAATTCTCTTTAAGTTGAGTTAAAGCTCTTTTCTTGGCAACAGAAAGTGTGTCCTTGTTGGGGCACCTCTCATGAGTGGTATATTCATGCACAATTCCGTTGCATAGGAGCTTTCCTAGCTGTTGTAGCATAATGCAGTGCACCATTCTTGTAGATCCACTAGTAAGGAAATAACCCCATAGGGTTTTTTAGTAATCCACCAGGAAGACCAAGGTCTCCAATACATATAAGCTATACTGAAAGGAATAGAAAATATGTAATGAAGTAAGTAGGATATGGAATTGCTAAAACCACCCTGACAGCATTATTATTCCTTTAGGAAATGCATTGTTTCCCAGGGGATGAAAATAACTATTACATTAGTGTTGCTGTTGTGTACAGTTCTCTATCTACCAATTTACGTAATGGTGATTTCTGAGACTCCAGCCAAGGATCAAGGCCATTTAGTTGCTGCATAGACAAATAAAGGCAACATGTCCTTTTCCTGCTCCCTCACTCCCAATTGCTCACAATATACAAGTCAGGCCAGAGGTGAGCAAAGAGGCAAAGGGAATTTAAGAAGGGGAGAATGAGTTAGCAATAATTGAACAGATATGTGTAGTAGAATGGAGGCTGCACTGAGAAAGGATGAGAGCAGTTCTCCATTCAGTCTTTTTGGTTTTGAACAGAAAAATACCAAAACTGCTCTCACTTGAAATGCAGAACAGCACAGCAACAAGCCAAAGACATGCTAATTTTACTTTGAATGTAAAATTTTTTTATGAGCTCTAGACTTTTTGTTTATTCCCCATTAATTTTTCAAGTAATTTACTGTCCCTTAGTTTACTTCATTGGAAATGAAATGAATAATGGCTACTTTACTCTTAATGTTGACCTATGTGTTAATTAGTACTTGCAGAGAGGTTTGAAATGAAGGTGCAAGGTACTGTATATGCTAAATATTACTAGTTTTGCAGCTATCTTGAAATCAGAACCATGTTGATAAATTAACTGAAAATCTATCTAACTTCATTAAAAGTTCCTGATTCCTCCAAGAATGGCAAGTTAGTCCTAGCCTTTTAATATAAACAGTCACATAAGGTCTCTGTTCTTTGTGACAAAAAATGTATGAGCATCACCAAATTTGTTTTATACAGAAGTTAGAAAAAGGACATACTACATTTTCATAGCTTTTCTAGACCAAAAACTTTCCAATGCCATGTTTATAATATAATTTGTACTGCTTTGTCTAGTCTAGTTTTGCCTGCTTCAGAGAAAGAAGCTTTATGAGTTCCCACAGTACTATCTCAGAGGTTAAGAAATCTTGTAATGTTGGGACTTACTTGATATTTCTTCAAGCCACAAATGTCCAGCATGTATAAAATACTATAGTGGAGAGAAAGAGGTTTTCAGGCATTTGATAGTCCAAACTTCCTGCAAGAAAATACCTCTTATGAAAAACATCCTTCACTGGGAATTCTAGACCACAATCAGATCCCTGTTGTTTTGGGTTGGGGTTTTTTTGTACTTTGTACTCAGGAATTTTTTTTTTTATTATTATTATTTGGGGGAGGGGGTGGGTGTTCTTGTCTGTTCTAAATAAGGCTGAAAAAAAAGTATTTACTAAATGTAAAGGAGGAAAAAGTCAAATGCTCAGCAAGGGAAGAAGACAGCTTGGATCAGTGGGTGTAACACTGATCAAGGAAAAGATCAGATCATTGCTTTTCATAGGCAACATGAGGAATTTCATATCTAGCATTCATTATGTCCTCTGTTAAGAGAATTACAGAATCTGGTCCCCTCTGAGTATCTCTCCCAGAGCTTTAAAGGACCTTGAGGCCAGCAGAGTTGCCAATGAGCTTTAGGAAAAGTAAAAATCCTGTATCCATCCAGCTGGTAAAGAACCAACAGATTTTTTGGAATATGGTGATAGTGTAATGACGAAACTCTCTGGTGGTTCATGCCAGAGCGCTCCTGTCCTTACTTTCTGACTATTCACTCACCAGGTGCAGTGGAGTTGAAAATATCAGACTGATATAGTGCAAGTTAATTATTTGAACCCTTTCAATTCAAGCATGAGAAATTGTGTTTCCCTGTGAGTGAGAAGAGTCCATACTTACACTGAGATGTACCACGGCATGGTACATGTATTCATATTCTGTATATTCAATACCACATATTCAGGTTTATGTTCTTTGCAAAGGGCCTCAGGTCATGCCAGGACACAGACTCACCGACAGTCCATCGGAGCCAATGGGAACTTTTCTTTGTCCGTGGATGAGCTTTCTATTCTTATCTCAGACTTATAAAACCAGAACAACAAAGGTATTCAGGCTCCTAGCATCTCATTAGAGACTTGAAATCCCACTGAAATCTACAGAAATCTATATAGACTACTCCGACATTCATTTTATGTATACCAGATGTAAATTCTCTTAAATCATAATGGACCTCTGTGAGTATTTTCAATTAGCCTTGGAAAAGCTTCAGGTGGTGTTTTTTTTCTTTTTGGAAATTCTAAATGAGGAGTTTTCTAAATTGTATTTGGTAGTGCACAAGACGTTTTTAAAGCAGAAGCCTCAGTGACAGTAACAAGAATACCATGGTTTGGCACCATACTAAGTGATATAGGCAAGATTTTTTTCATGACAACGTTTTAAAATATCTGCCATTTTTTCACAGTCCTTATAAGAACGAACAGTAGCATAGTGAAAAACACTGGAAGACACAGCAAGATGACATAGGGCAGCTCCCATAGAATTTATCACCTATTTGAACATGTGAAACATAGGAGATTTTCATAACTGGTGCAAGATAAACTTTATTTGCTTGTTGTTAGAGGCAGGAGCTAACAAAGAGGAGCTAGCTGGAGCTCTTAAGTAGAACTTGCATCCTAATGATAAACACAAAAGTACCTTCTTAGTCAGACCAGTGAATAGGATATGTTTTCATTTTGCTCTGGTCTCTATCATAAAGCTGTCCAGATGGACGTCTTTTAATTGATGGCTAATTCTTCCTTATTTAATTCTTGCAGGGTACGTGCAGCTTTACTTTGATGCAGATTGCTCAGCCCCTTTTTAGGCTTGCTTTGGTTTCTAATCTTATGTTAAATATAAGTCTCGGTGATAAGGCGTGAACATTGAAACTCTTTGTCCCCTACCAAATCCTGCTCACCCTTGTCCGATGCAGGAGATCGTATCTCCTGTCACAAGCCTGCAGCTCATAGAGTCAGTAGCCACTACGAGGCCTCTCTTGCTTGATTTTGCACTTATGATCTTAAGTCAAGCTGCCTGTCATGTAGCTAATACGAACAAATTATGTCTCTCTGTTTGTTTGTTTTCTCTCTTCCCCACAGGTAAAATTAGTATTTTCAAAGGAACCTTCAAAGCCGATGGCTCCACGAATCTTACCAAATCCGCTAGCAGCTGCAGCAGCAGCTGCTGCTGTGGCTGTGAATTCCCCCTTCAGTCTTCGCACAGCCCCAGCAGCCACCCTTTTCCAGACTTCAGCACTTCCTCCAGCACTCCTACGACCAGCTCCAGGGCCTATACGGACCACCCATACTCCCGTGCTGTTTGCTCCTTACTGAACTCCAAACAGGAATTAATTGTACTGCAATAATTTTTCAAATCAAATCAAAACAAAAAAAAAAAAGAAAATCAAGAACATTGAACTATGCAGTGTTTATTTATAGTTTAAAGTATATATGAAGAGCCAGGACTTTTGATAGAGAACTGAACAAATTCTAAAAGGGGGAATGGGCAGTATTTTCTCCAGATGAGAACATTCCTCTTGAGTATTGATCGTTTTAGAACTGATCTCCAGCATTGACTTGTAGTGACATATAAAACTTATGAAGCCTTTTGACTGTGCTTTTTGGCACATATTTCCCTGCAATGTCTTTCCTGCTTTATGAAACAACTTACAAATTTGTCTAAAGGGCATTAACTGGTTCCAATGTACATAAAATACTTTATTCTGTAGATTAAAGAAGAAGGAAAAAAAAAGAAACACTGTGAATAGTAGTACCCTTACCAATCCTCCTGCCAAATCAGCAGTTACTGGGTATTTATCTGAGCAAAAGTAGATACAATAGATGTCTTGTAAAACAGTAGTATTGTGTCTCTATCTATGCCACTAGGTTTCTAACTGAGTTGCAAAAGATAAAATGAACAAATTATGTCAGTTTGGTAAGTAGTCGAAAATGATGACAATAATGTGGAGCTGTTCCTGGTGAGCAAAAATTGTTTTCCTCACCTGTAGAAGAATGGGCGTGAAGATAATCTATGGTTAGGGCAAAGTAAATGATACAGAAGATTGTAGCGGGGACAAAAAATCCAGGTGCTGTACACGGAATAGGTCAAACTTTTATTTAACTGAGAAAGTATGTGTACAGTGTGTGTATATTCAAAAGGTGTAATACATACAGGATAGATCAATGTCTAAGGCATGCCAGTGGACAGCAAAAAAATACACTCTTGTCATGAAAAAGGCCTGACACTTTAGTGTTGAGCAGAGGGAAGACACAAAAGGGTTACGCATAGTCATAAGTAGCAAATGAAAAGCAGGAGAGAAATCCTGGCCTCATTTAAGTCAGTATAAACTTCCTCCTGACTGCAATGTAGCTAGAATTTCATCCCAAGAATGGCACATATTCGTTTTATATCACACCAGTGGGAGTGTCTGTAGATACAGGTAACATTTTTTGCAGTAGGCTTAGTCTTAGAAACAGATTTATTCTCGTTTTATTTCCTACTGATGTGATATAAAATGTCTTAATATACCTATAAAATGTAAACAGCAACACATGAGATACATATTACGAGATAACTGCACATCGTGGGTTTGGAACAAATACAACCTTTAGGATCTGAAGGGACCCTTGAATTCTGTAGCTGACCTTTCTGTATGGACAGCTTAAAGCCTTATGTATTTACTGTGAGGCTTAAAGGGGTTGACTGTGTCCCTTTAAAGTAAGATTTATCAGGGGTATATATAGATATATTGTATATATGTTAGAGTAAGAAAATAACTTATAAACAGAAAATCTACTATATAAAATAATTATATAACCATTGAGTTTCACATGTGGGTCATTAAGTGGTAAGTAACAAACAGCAGAGAAAAAAAAATAGACTTCTTGAATCTGATTCTTGCTGCCTGCTTTTCCCCATAGGGAGCTGAAAAGTATCTATTAATATTACGGAGTGTGCTGCTGAGTCACATGCGACCACTCTGATGTGTAGCTAAGTGAAATGCCTACCATACATTTAGGAGGAATAAAATTTTAAAACATAATTTAAGTTTAGATGGAGAAATGATTTGAAAGATTTTATTAAAAGGTAGTAACGCAAAGTATTGACCATGTGGTTGCTATATAATACTGCCTGTGGTTAATATGGACAGTTGGGAGATATAGAGGATGGGAATATACAGCACTTTTGACTTGCAGTTCATCAGTGAGCCTTCCATATACATTGGTATTTGCCATTTTTTTAAACCTCTCTGCATTTAGATTTTATAAAAAAAAAATATATAAAAAGAGAGAAAGAAGAGGTTCCATGGATGTCTGTGTCCAAAGAATTCCAAAGAGATGCATTTATTTATCTAGAAGTATTGAAATAAGTTCTATATTACGTATTTGTATTTCATCCAGTTTATTTGCAAACGTTTGTGCCTTGAAATGAAATGGGCTTTTGTTTATATTTAATTCAGTCCTATGTAGCCATGAAAAAGATACAATGGTGATTTCAGGGCTGTTACTAGCTGGATTGCTTTGGCCCAATTTCCCAACAAGAAGAGTATGAGTAAGTTCCTGAAGCCAAGTTTAGGCACCTAAATAACTAGGGGCTGACATTTAAAAGGGCTCCCTACTCTACAGCTCCCAGTAAAGAGGCAGTAAACAGGCCAGCCTTCAAAACCTGTGCCTACCACTCAATTTAGAAAATGTTTCCTTTTATTTGGGCACATAAATATAGTGTTGTAAGGCTCAACTCCTCCTTGCAAAATCTTGGCCTCGGTCTTTTAAGCCTGCTTTCAACCTCCCATCTTTTTGCAGAAGCTGTAGTGCCATTGCCAACTGTGTTCAGCTTCCTCCTTGAAAGGGGCACCACTTTTCAAGCTGTGCTCCATGAACCACCGTTTATCTCCAGAGCCTTTTGTAACAGCCTGTGTAAGTAAGAGCTGGCTAAAAGAGCAGAGGAGGACTGGCGTTTTTGGAAGGGAGAAGGTCTGGGCAGATGATCTTTTCCCCACGAAAAAACATGCAGATGGGAAAAAGGGAGACCCACAAATATCCTGTAGGCTCTTATGCACGGCCTTCTGGTGCATGGACACCTGCTATATATCCTGCCATGTTGTTGCGATGCCATCAAAATCAACAGGCTGATCCTTGCCAAAATGTGGCCTGTGGCATGTATGGAGGCACAGTACTAAGGGCAGAGTTAATACACGTTTTGCTAGAAATAAAGAGAGTGTCATTCCAACTATTTACATCAGCTAATTTGCAATGACACCTTCAGTTTTCTTGGACCTCTTTTGTCACAGTGCTCTATGGAACAAGTTTTTGTTCACACAAGTCTCTTTTAAATTTCAGCTGTAAACAACAAACTCAATTCTTTTTATGTCTCTTACTCACTACCTAATAAAGGATAAAGCCTAAATGTTAGAATGTATAGTGGATTTTCTGTGCCTTGCTGTTCCACCCCGCCTTGGTCAGTAACAAGTCAACGTACCCGGGATGTCAGCGCAACAGTTTTGTATTATATATATGTCAAGGAAAATACTGGCACAGCAATCTGATTGGGCAAGGGGAGCTTCCAGTCAAGGGCATGTCCACAGCAGCTGACAAAGGAGCTAGCAAACAGAAGACACTTTACACCTATTTGTCTATACATCCAACACGGAGAGCCCTATAAAAGAAAAATGTGTCATCATATTTCATATTACAGTAACAGTCCAGGGCCAAGAGGAAGCCTAAAGCACAAGGAAACACATCATTTCATCGAAGACACAGTCACTCACTGGAATAACAGTGTGAAATCAGCCTGCAGGGAAATGGCTGGGTATGAACTTGGAAAAACTAATAGGTTCAGGGATGTTTTCTAAAATTCTATACAAAGTGTTAAAGAATGACTATTCTGTTCTGACCCAAAGAGGTCGTATTTTTGTGGGAGGGATATATATTTATATTTTTAAGCTATCTGCATTTTTCCAACTATCTCTGGTTTCAAACCTTTGTTCTGAAGGATCATCATTGCTCTGAACCATGAAATCAGTTACCTTCTTGAAAGCTGCTGTAAAAGCTGATGTGAGAGGTCAGTAAACAAATGATACAAATATGATGATCTAAAATGAACTGGAAGAAAAAAAATGAACTGGCCATGTCAAGGAATATTGTATTTGAAAAGTATACATCTTTATTTTAAGATAAATTAAAGTTATATAAAACTAAGAATAGCTAAATAAAGTTAATATAACTAGAAGAATTACATCTGTCATTTTAGTACTGGAATGTTACAATTGGCTCTGTATTTTAAAAGATGAAAAGGCTTTTTAGATGCTAAATCAATGCACGGATGCTATGGGTGAATTTAATGTCTCACATTCATTATCTTCCAGTTATACCAGGAATACCATAACTGAGTGGACCTGCCCTTAGTCACTTCCATTCTAATCCCCAAAGATACAGTAGAGTATTGGCCCAATATTTCCTAAAAGCTGAAATCATGCTTCCTAGGACCCCCTGCTTCTGCCTTCTGCTCCCAGTAAACACATAGTTTTTAGACTCTCTTCAAAGCATCTTAGAGAATGTCTATCTTACTTGCTCTAATTTTTTGCAAAAATAAATGTCATTTTATGAACATAAGACCAACACTGAGGAGCAAGACCTGAAAAGGTTTCTTCATGATAACAACATTCTTGTGGCTAAATATGAAGCACTGATTACGCAAATTGTTTGGCTGCACAAATCTCTTTGAAAACATGTGAAGTTGGAAGCCTAAACCACTTTATAAGGAACCTGTTCTTTTTATTAGCATAGGTGTCTGAATTTCCATTTTTAAAATTGACTTCAGCATAGTTCAGGCTTCAGGGCTCTAAGCACCGAAAGCTCACAAGAAAACAACCATGGGGTTCCTATTTACCTAGATGCACGTGAAAGTATGAGCCTATGCTATGTAAAATATCATGGATTTTTTTTTTACATCACATCTTCCCCTGTTGTCATTGTTTATCTGTAAGTGCCATTATTACTTCAGTGCCAGTGAACCATACAGAAGCTTCTGTGCTGGGATTCGGTGCATGATTAAAGAAATAGTAATACTGATAAATCCTATCTTAAACTAGTTGAAATCTCAAACACACAGTTAAGGGTTTAGCCAAGGACAAGAGCTTTATGCCCTCTCACACCTACAAGTTTATTAAAATTCAGGACCATTTAGGAGTAAATGTAACTATCTGGAGGATGGTTATTACATAGCCTGATCTGAAATGTCAGGGGCTGAAAGACTCTGCGCTTCAGACTGAAATTAAGAATACTATGAAAACCATAATGCTCTTAACCCTGGGACTTCTGAAAGCAGATGCAAAGATCTTTGACTTCAGTAGAGGCAATTTTTTGCCCTGAGTGCCTGAGGCTTTTTGCAGTCATGCTGTGTACTGCAATTAGGTGTCATTCAACTCTGATTCAGTATTGATATATTGATAAAGAAACTTGGCTGAGCCTGAAGCATGATTAGTGGCTGCCTAGTTCCTGTGATCAGCTTCATGCTGGGATGCTGCTTGGGTGGTGAAGTAAGAAGAGTCAAAAGAGTCAATGTAAAGAAACCGGTAAACTAATTTGATCCCTTTTCCGTGTTTAATGTTCTTATATGGAACTTGTGAGGCATTAACAAGATGGAACATTCAAGAGTTCCTCAGTAAAACATAAGGACCTTGAAGGTCATGAGATCTTAACCTTAAAAATTATTTTGATGAGAAAGAACCCAGAAGACTTTCTTTGTCTTAGGTACTTCAGTGACTTTGTAGCAATAGTCTTCACATCAGCCACACTGTCAGCACACTGATATTTGTGCTGTTCACAACAGAAATTGAATATTTGACACCCATAATTAGATACAGGTATAGTTATTAATATTCATTGCATAGTTATTGGGCACTCAATTACAGGATACAA